AATGCAGAGTGACCAGCAGCTCATCCTCTGACCTATGTCCCTTTGCATCAAAAGGTAGGACCACAAAGAGATGGCACTGCTTTGTGTCCTCATTAGGGTGGACGTGGCTTGAAATACAAATCAGATCAAGGCACTCTCCTGCAAAAATGCATTCCAGGTCTTGGGATTGTGGGTAGGACAAATTTCATTCCCTTCACTGTTCCCTGTGAGCCCCTACATGGCCCTCCTCCATTCCTGCCGTAGACCTTTTTCACTTTCTGTTCCTTCCTCTGGAATGCCCTCCCTATCGATCTCTGTATGGCTCCCTTCTTCCCAACTCAACTATCTCCTCAACAAAGACCATCCCTCACTTTTCCAAGGAGGAATGTGTGAACCAAAGGAGGCTCACAAATTCACCACCTCACTTTCTATCCATTACCTGTTTTCTCTCCATGGCACACATTCCTGTCTAAAATTATCTATGTGATCTTAAGTGTTCTTACTTTTTAGTGGTGTCTTATCTGTTTCCCCACTGGAATGTCAACTCCCCGAGGCCAGAAATTCCTCAGTGTTTGCTACCATTGCAGTAAGGAGCACTACCTGGGAAATATTGTCACTATTCATGTAGTAAATAGGACTGGGAGGAAGGATGTGTGGATGCGCTCCCTGCCACCTGTGCTCTAAGCATGCCATCATGGGGCACAGGTGATGGCTTCATTACACAGCCAAGATTATCCCGTATCAAGGGGAGAGCACAGGAGGCAGCCTGAGGGGACAATAGGACTCAGCCCCGACTGTGTCATCCACTGCTCTCCTGGAGCCAGGGTCACCTGTGAGGCTCCTTCTGCATAAGGCAGGTATAGCTGCATTGGTCTGTGCGCCTTTACAGACCAATTCAGAGGAAAACCCTGAATTATAAAAATACCAAGAAGGGGGAAGTCAGACTTCTCTGGCAGCCACAGCAACTTCTGTCCATTCCAGGTGCGGAGCGGAGGCAGCCCGGGGTTGTAACCATGCCGGTTGTAATGGTCGTCATAGGTGCTGATCAGGTAGCGATGTGGGGGTTCCTGGTGGTGGGTGATCAGGTGTTTGTAGGGGAGCCCCTGGAAGGACAGACACAGTGGGCTCATTACTGATAGGAGCAAGGCATCCGCCTGGCCATGGTGGAGACAGGAGCTGCCACATGTAGGGGTCTTTAGCGCTAATGGAGACAGTGGGCATCCATGGGCTGGCAAAAGGTCTTCAGAAACACACTTGTTTATCCCACTCTGAGGCATCCCACTTTCAAACACATCCCAGCTAGCTGCAGTCAGTTCTCTGTATGGCCGGTCCCATGCCAAGTCAATTCATTCCTAGAATGAGCTACGTTGGCACATTAAAATGAAAGCCAGGACATTCTGCTGAATGGGAAGAGTCAGTACCACCTCACTTGTGATCTGAAATTGCAGCCTATTTGTCTCAAGTCTCATGCATCCAAGCCTGTTCCTAAGGGCAAGGAAAAGATGGTGAAAGCCAGCCTGACGTGTGTGCCTTATATTTCAGTCTGTTACTGTGGGAAGAATCAGAGAACACCCTATAAATCATCTTCTCTTGCACACGCTTTACTGCTCGCTCAGTTGGAAACTAGGGGAGTGATTTCTTTGGTGAGGAGTAATTTACAGGGAGAAGAAAGCCATGTTCTCCTTTCTCTGGGATGCCTGCCTGATTCAGTGCTTTTCCTAAGAAAATCCTCTTGGGCCCAGAAGGGAATCCTGGGGAACTGCACTGATTTACAAGGGGGGATAATGTTGATTACCATGCTTGTCCTCTTGTCTGGAGCAGACAGGGAGGCCTGTGTCTGCTATGGTCTAGAAATGCCAGCTGCACCCAATATTTCAAGTGGTGGTCCCATAAATAAGTCAGATCACAATGCCAGAGGAAGACAAGGGGGGTGGGCACAGACATTAAGCAGGATTCCCAAGATCCACATCGCCAGGTACCCCACAGTGTATTTCCAGTGCCGAAGTGACTTGGAGGGTTTCCCATCAACAGAGGGAAGTGCAGAAGCAGCCTCGTGGCTTGGGAGGGAGAGAAGCCAGGAGGAATTTTCTCGCAGTTTCTCTTGATTTGGGGTGTGGTCCTGCTGTCTTTATTGTGTGCCTGGGATTTTTCCTTATTTGGGAAAGTGACAGACACAGAGACAACTACCTTTGAAAGAAGAGCTTGTTACTTACAGTTCTCAAGAGGAAGAGTACGCCACGCCCTGCAGGGCCACATAAGGAAGCACCAGTGTTGGTCGTTGGTCGGGAGTCGGAAGGAACAAGAGGGGAGCAGGGCCCAGAGCCTTTACTGTGGTTTCCATGGGAACCATTGGGTGAGGCAAGTTTAGGGTGGACAAGTTTAGGACTGGATGTGTGAATAGTTTGTGGGCTCTGGGCCCTAGAGGTGGTCTCTAGTGTCCACTAGTTGGCTCTGGGGTGATTTAAGGCAGAGGAAACATTGGCTTGGTGCGTGAGAATCAGATAAAGCAGGCGGCTGGGGATACGGGCTTTGGAATCATTTTTGACTAAGAAGGAAGAGCAAAGTGGGAGTGGAGAGTAGGAGATGGAGAAGGAAGCTGTCCTAGGAGAAGGAGGGCACCATGAAGCAAACAGAAGAGCTGACAGAGTTGAAGCAGCCGTGTGGTAGCAGGGTTATGTTCAGAGCCCCATCCCACAAGCAGGGAATTTGAACACAAACATTACAAATAAATATTCAGGACTGAGCACAGTGGCTTACGCCTGTAATCCCAGCACTTTGGGAGGCCAAGGTGGGCAGATCACTTGAGACCAGGAATTCAGGACCAGCCTGAGCAACATGGCAAAACCCTGTCTCTACTAAAAAAAAAAAAAAAAATTAGCTGGGTGTGATGGTACACACCTGTAATCCCAGCTACTCGGGAGGCTGAGGCAGGAGAATTGTTCCAACCCAGGAGGCCGAGGTTGCAGTGAGCCAAGATCG